TGAGACACGGTAGAGACGGGGGCAGAGACAGCGGGGAGAGGTTAGAGACACGGGAGAGGAGAGAGACGCGCAGACGGCGAGGGACGCCGGTCTCCGGTCCCGGGGCGCCCGGGTGTGGACTGTAACCCGAGCCGCGCCTCCGCGCCCGCTGGGTTGGTTTCGGTTCTGCCTCCTTTCTGTCCTCAACAAGCGGGATAATAGAAACGTCGGGGGCGGACGGGAACTCCCCAAAGAGTCGGCTCTCCGAGCAGACCGGACCCTGCGGAGAGGGACCCGTGTGAACAGCTCTAGGTCTGCTCGGAGAGATGAAAGTAGTCAGAGTAACACCCGTTCTTTCTTTATGAAAAATACAGGGCTAAACGGGAAAGGAGGGAGGGCGGAAGGAAGAGGGAGGAGTGAAGTGGAAAGGGGCAGACAGGAGAGAACAGGGAGGGAGAGAGGAGGGCAGAGCAGGGGAGGGGTACTGAAGGTATTCCCGGCCGCCTCAATTTTCTGCTCAAAACCCGGAGAACCCGCAGCGTGGAGGAAGGAGCCTATTTAAGCCTGGACTGAGGTTGAACTTTAACAGAAATGGCAGTCAGGCCAGTTAAACGGGTTCCTGAAACACCCAAAAAGGCTTTTTGTTGCCCCTGGCTTTGCGAGAAGGGAGAAGTTGCGTGTGCTTGAAGACTGACAGCGTGTGTTTTTAAACCGACGTAAAAATCGCCTACTGCAGGCTCTGTAGAGGACGAGACTGCGCGGGGACGGGAGCCCCATCGCGTCTCTTTCCTTTAAAACGTGAGCTTAGCCTTCCACGTTCAACAGGAAGTCTGCCCACGTCACTGTAAACAGCGGCCCCACCAACTCACTCTCCTCTCCCCTCCGAACAACGAGGCCCTGCCTTTTTACTCTGTTTTGTAATCTGTACACTAAGCGTTCAGGGCAGTCCCTTCTTCCCACGGGGAAACTCTCCTTGTGCACAGGACACCCACACTGTGCGCGAGCCCTAATGCGACTTTCTCGCTGCCTGGTCCAAGGAGCAGAGGCTGCTTGACGCGCGGCCCGGCGCAGTTAATTGAAGTTCTGCCTCTTTCCTGCTAAACTTTCTCCCCTGCCTGTCTCTGCCAGCCCCCTCGTCTGATTACATCTAGTAATTCTCCACTGAATGAACGTCACTTACAATAGTGGGGAGCTCTGCGCTCGCCGCTGCTTCACGCTCCATTTGTCCTCCATTCTCCCTTTAAAGTACTCGTGTAATATTAATAGTCATGAATATCAATTATTATGAGGCGGTGTAGGCAAGCGGAGGGAGGAAGGGGCGCCCGAGCAGTCTGAGCCCAGCTTCGGGCGGAAGAGGACTGTAACTGGAGCCCCGAAGAACCACTGAAGAAAAGAGGCCAAAAAGACACCAAGAGATAGAGGAACTGTTCTGTCCGTGTGTGATAGGCATCGCCAATCTTGTTGGAGGGGGGTAATTTTTTTTTTTTTGATGGCTTGTCCTGGAAACACCACAAGCTCGACTCCTGTGTCCAGCTCTCTTCTCTGCTGGACTCCTTGATTTTTTTTTAAATCATTGTTTGATTTTGAGCAGTAACCAGGCTTTTTTTTCCAGATGTTAGTCCACACCTATTCATCCATGGTGAGTTTGGATTCGCATTGTACCAGAATTGCATGCCCTCTCTTCTCACTGTCTCTCTGTCTCTGCATCTCTGTGTGTGTGTCTCACTCAGTCTCTGTCTTTCTTTGAGCGCCTTTGGCTGGGTAATTTAGCACCATAATTGGAGGAGGCTGCAGCTGCTTCTCTCTGTATTGTGTGTTCTCCGTTTGAGCTCCATGAGTCAGCTGGGAGAGGGGGGAGGCTGAACCGAAAAAACTTTGTACTTGTCATTGCACTTTGGAAATTTAGGTGACTATTTCGGCAAAAAGAACCATGGAGACTTTACCATGGCACTTCCACAGAGGAGAGGGAGAAACTGAAAGCACCCGAACACACACCTCCCCCTTCTCCTCCTTCCACTTGGTCACACTTCAGAGAGGACCAGCAATAAGTTGTCTGGGGTTTTTCCCCCTCCCAACTTTTGGTCCTTCATTTTCACACCCTGAAGTATAATAGCATTTGATACAGAAAAGCACGTTTAGAAATAACTCCTGCAAACCACAACTCAATTTAACATGGGGTTACGATATGATTTTGAATCAGATCCATTTCAATCAAACACTATTTAAGTTATTTCATTCTTTCTGGAGGGAGAGGGGTGGCTAAGAAGTCAAATCAGGCAGCTTCCTTGGAGCTCCTAAGATCACCAGGTCAGGCAAGGAGCTCCTCATCAGCCAGCTGCATTCCCAGTGAAGATGCAAGTTGGTTTTCTAACAAGGGTGAGCAGCCCAGCAGATACTGTGAAGTTTTAATTGTTGTGTGTTGGGTCCCTGGAAGAGTTAGGGGAAAGGAGCTGGACACCCAGAAGGGTACACATTTGTAGGACTCCTAAGGCATTTAGTATCTGGTCCACAAAGTTCTTTTCCCCTTGCCCCTTTTGCCTACTTTGTATTCCCCAAAGAAGGCTCAGATGTGTGGGTGACCCTCCTTTTTTCTCCCCAAAGACTCCCCTTTGGATTTGTTGACCCCTGAGTCAATTCGGGGGTGTAAGTTTAGACTTTTATCCCCTGTCCTGGGAAGGGTGTAAGTAAGCCGGGCTTCTCCATTTCTCTCTCTCTCTTTCTCTCTCTCTCTCTCTCTCTCTCTCTCTCTCTCTCTCTCTCTCTCTCTCCTCTATCTCTCCCTCTCTGCTCCCAGGACCGGCACGATGGCGTCCCGAGTCACAGCTCGAGGCTTTCTCAACTGGGCTCGGTGTCCCAAGGACCTTACTCCAGCGCTCCGCCGCTGTCCCACACCCCGTCATCGGACTTCCAGCCGCCCTACTTCCCGCCCCCCTACCAGCCGCTCCCCTATCACCAGAGCCAAGACCCCTACTCACACGTCAACGACCCCTACTCCCTGAATCCACTGCATCAACCCCAGCAGCACCCCTGGGGGCAACGGCAGCGACAAGAAGTGGGCTCGGAAGCCGGCTCTCTGCTGCCCCAGCCTCGGGCAGCCTTGCCCCAGCTCTCAGGCCTCGATCCCCGGAGGGACTACCACTCAGTCCGCCGGCCCGACGTGCTGCTGCATTCGGCACACCACGGCCTGGATGCAGGCATGGGAGACAGCCTCTCCTTGCATGGCCTCGGCCACCCCGGCATGGAAGACGTCCAGGTAACCCTAAACTAAAACGACGTTAATGAGGAATGCCCCGCAGGGGAAGTGCTGGGGAAAGGCAGCTCTGTCTCCTTGGAGAGAAGTTGTCTCGTCTTTTAAAACAGGACAGGTGGGAAAGGACTTATGTTTGTCTGTAAGTATATATGGATCTGCAGTGATTTTTGAAAGTTCAATCAGAAAGCCATAAGCACTAGAACTTAAATCATGGAGGAGAAAAATAAGAATATTGATGCTTTGCACTCACTAGAATCAAGGCTAGCACTTTTGTCCTGCCTCAGCTATCCAACTTGACTCCTATTCTCTATTGCTTTGTGTAAACAGGCTCCCACACACGCGCGCGCACGCGCGCATACATACACACACGCACATCCCACAGGGGCTCCTCCTACAGAATTGGCTGGTGAAGGCCTGGCTACCTATAAACCAACACTCTAGCACCAAGGAGCAAGCGCCTCTGTGCGCCTCAGCTGTCCCTGCCAGATTTGCAAGGTTTTGCTAAGCATGACTATGCATAGTGGAAGAAAGTCAGGAGCTATGTTTGTTTTTCTTGCTCTTAATGTCACCTACACTAAAGAGCCCTTTCCAAGACAGTCACTACCTGAAAATGGAGTATTTATAGGGGACAGACCTGGAAGGCCACAGTTCAGTTTGTGCGTCCATGAGGATAGATACCATTTTGGAATTCTTTTCTCTTTTTCGTCTATTGAATAAAGTGGAGTAATATCCTCCAACCTTCCCTCTTTAGTCCGCCACCCCTCCTCCTATCCTTACTCTCCTTTCCCCATTGCCACCAGCCTGTTTGAAGAGGCATCACGTGTTTACTTCTTAAAACAAAAGGCTCAAAACACTCCCCTTACCCACCCGCTATCCCATCTGCAACCTACACAATGGAGCCTGATCTGGTTGAGAATAATTGGTTAAATTAAACAAAGGAACATCAAAGAAATGATTCCTAAAAACTGTCTGGGTGATTCTGAGCAGGTCTCCTGTTCTCCTCTGATTTAAGTAGTTTCCAGAAAAAAATAAATATGATTGAATGGTACTCAACTGACACTTCGATTTCATTGGCATAGTTGTATGTATTAGGCATCATTTTAGACATACTTGTGAAGCAAAGAAAAATGAAACGGAAAAGGGATGCACGAATCATTCTTTGATCCTGCTGAAAAAAATATGTTTTTAAGCATTTAAAATGTAGTGACAGAGTCATGCTGTGTGTGGTCTATGATCCATTTATTATTTTTAAAATATCAGTTATTTATTATTTTTTAAAAGAATGAAATCATCTGATTTGTGGCTGGATTTACCCACAGTAATCAGTGATGGTTTTGCTGATTTAACTGAGATTGTCCCTGTTTGGAGATATTGCTCATTTCCAAATATCATATGAGGAAGGAGAATTTTAAATAGTTTTCTTAATGCATTGGGGTAATATGTGTCTCAGGGGGAAAGTTTTTAAATTAACCTTTCTGAGTATGGTTCAAAGTGCTGGATAATGAAAGTGGATCAACTCATCACCATCACTGTTGGTGTGGCTAACACCAGCCTCCTCACCACTACCCTGCATGCTGGCTGAGGGGCTCAGACAATTGAATTCAGGAATTCTTCCTCCTGAAGAGGGAGCAGATTGTTTTGGGTTTAGTTGTTGGTTTTTTGCCCCCAATGACAGAATTGCTAGGTGATTTACTGCTGCCAAAGTGTCAGAAAGGATTTAGGATGTGTGAACAGAGAGCAGAGGCTGAGTTGTTGCTGTCTAGTGTAGAGGCTACAGAGGTGGAGAGAGCATCGGAGAAAAGAAAAGTAGCAGGCCACTGCCCTGGCCCTCTCACATCTCCCGCCCATCTACTCCCTTTCCTATTCCCCCTCCAGCTTTATCCCAGCCCATGGCAAGGTGGGGAGGCTGGTGGGACCTCAGCAGACCCTCAGTGCAAAGGGCTGCAAGAGATACACCCCATGTTGTCCTTGGAGGAAAGAACTGGGGCAGGTAAGGTCCTTGTCTCCATCTTGAGGTTGATAGGACACAGGGAAGGTGACAAAGACAGGGGAGAATTCGTACATAGGACCAGACATCCAAATCCAGAGACTGTTGTGATTCACTTGCTCTGTCTGTCCAGAAGATCTACTTCCAAGTTAGGGATCTGGAATACAAGGTCTAAAGTTACACAAGCTGTTGGGGGTTTCCACATTCCCTGAAGTGAGGGTTCAAATGGGTTGGCTGCACCTGTCCAGTCATTAAAAGGGACAGAAGAGTGCCTTGGCCTGGACCTCAAAGGTACTTGTTCAATCTCCAGGGTCTGGTGTGTGTTCGGGATACTCCCAGCCACAGACCAGTCAGACCCTGCCGGTGCTGCCAGGTTTGTGGGTCGAGGGTTGGGGATGTTGTGAAACCCAGAGGCACACATGCAGGGCCACCGCCCCGTGAGAGCAGAGAAGGAGAGCTCATTAACCAAATGCTTCTAATATTTTTAAATGAAACTATAAAACCCTGTCAATTTCTATTTCAATTTACTCACAGAGGCTATTAAACTAGCAAATCACTGTTTGGGTTCCTGGTATGGTACATTTCACCCATTGTGTGTGGGGGTGTGTGAAGGGCAGTGTTTAAAAACTAAGAAAAATGGGCTGCAAAAAGGCAGGGAAGGCAAGTGCGATGACACCTAGTTCAGGATTTGTTTAGCTGCTGTGTCTTCCTTTGCTTCCACCCATCTTTGCTGTCTGATCTCTCATCACCTCTATCACCCATGAATGTAAGCCTATAAACATGCTAAGGCAACCCCCCCAAACACACACACTCATACTCACACTCAAACACACCCTTGTGTTTCAAAGCAACCCCTGGTATCACTTTTAACTAAAGAAGTCTAGTAATTACGAGTCTGAGTTGTTTTTCTGCGCTTCCGCATGCAGTCCTAATTAAATCTTTACGATCCTCCCTGTGACGATTAAGCGCCAGCATGCTGCGTGAATATCCTGTACAAAAACCCAGCAGGCGGCCGTAATTAGATAGAAAATCAGACAAGAGCCTTCTCATTAACTACCACAACTACCCCACGTCGCTGATGAGGCGTGTATACATATTTACGTACCGAGGTGCGGGTGAGGTGTGGGCTGGCGCCCCGGCCCCTGAGCGCTAGGTCCGCTGTGTGGCCACGGTCCCGCGTGGGCCGTGATACGGCCAGGGGCAAAGCGGGGACTGCGGCGTGTGCGTGGCCTGGCGCCCCGGGAGTAACTGAGGAGTTGTAGGAGATGTTTTTTTTAAACGGTTTTTCACTATTTCTTCAGATGTACGCGGCACGTTGCTACAGGGAAAACAGTCCTCACCTTTCTGAGAGTAGAAGAGTGACTGTTAAAAAAAGAAAAGAAACAAACCAGCTCGTTCCCTTGATGATTAGATCATCTCATTTCCCAAGCACGGCTTGTTTGGGGTAGACACTGTTTTGGGGCAACGCACACGCACCCTGTCTGGGGCTGCAGCGCGAGTGGGTGGGCGGGTCTGTGAGAGAGCTCTTCACTCTCCAGCCCTTTCCTCTAAGCGTCTCCAAACGGAGGGTGTCAAGTTGGTCCAAACTTAAATTCCTAAGGGTCTAGGAAAGCCGTTGTGCACTTCAGAAAGACCGGGGGCGGGGGTGGTGGGGCGGTGAAGGGGCAGCCTCTTCTGGACACCCTGGGTGCACAGCCAGGACTGTGCTCAAGCACACCAGACAGTAAGAGACCCCATCAGCTATTGGCCCTCAGAGGTGCTGCCAGTGCTCAGAGCTCAAACTTCCCTTCTTGGGGTGACTGTATGGCACCGAAGACCAGGTTCCCTGTAATTCCGTGGATGCGGACTGGGAGGATCCAGGTTTTTGTGTGTCTGTGCCTGTGTCTGTACTCGTTGCTTTCCAAACAGGTGTGCTTCTCGCAGGGAAGCAGCATTAGCAGCGCTGGGAGGGGGAGCCCTCGAGGCAGCCCCTCTACAGACGGATTGTGCAGCACTCAGCTCAGAGCTCCCAGGGACACACAGACTGCAGTGGGTGTGCGGTCCTGGAGCCTTGCAAACGTTCCTATGTGTTGCTGTTTGCATTCCATTCCAAATTGCTCAGGCTTTAATTAAAATCCCATAATGTAAACTGTTATGTATTTGTAAAATGGCTTTGGGGTTAAGTTGCACACTGATAGAATGGAAAACAAAAATTGCTCTTAACTAATATTGGTAAAAATCTTTCAGCTGTTGCCAAACTTTCACAATTCATAAAAGCGAATAATATAAATGCTTATATGTCTATGTAACATCGATGTTTATATAACAACTAACCAATATTGCATCCCAGATATCTTAGTTTCCTTTTCCCTTTTCGTTCATTGGAAGAATTTATAATTTGGGTGAATTTCATTTCTATGTCGATTTGGAGGTAATAATGATAATAATAAAACCTCTCTTTGTGAATTAATATAAATGGAAATAACAGAAACTCCAGTATAGGATGACATGATTTATGTGTGCAATTCTTTAATATCCAGTCAATTTGAATAGTGATGTTTTTATATTCACAGTCAGTTGAAGATGCCAATAACAGCGGCATGAATCTATTGGACCAGTCTGTCATTAAAAAAGGTATGGATTTTCCCTCCCAAAAGTAAGCAAAGTTTTCCTATTTTTTCATGTCTTTAGGATGAGCTTTCACTTTGGGGGAATTTGATATTTTATAAGTGTTTGTTCACAGCCCTAGTGCAATGGCTGTCAGACTAAGGTAAAGGGCATTTCAGGAACAGGGAAATGGGGTAATGGGGAATGAAAACCTGCAGACAGCAGAAACCCAGATGAGAGAAATGGAAGGACAGAAACCATTGTCATTTCCCTATAATACATATGGTAGCTATTCTAGATGCATCTTAAATGAACTATCACCATGTGTGGAATTGGTTGGGAAACACTGGTTTCAAAAATGTGCCGTAATTATTTCATTGATAACTGAAATAGCCTGAGCTAAAATATGTCACTGAGATGGCTTCTTTTTTCTTGTTTTTTGTTTTGATTTTTTGGTAGTAATTTTGTTTCCAGTTCTCTGTTTGTGAATTGTTTCTTTTCATTATTATTATTATTATTTGTAATTGAGCCAAATGTGTCACTAAATGTGCACATCCAGAGAAGCTGAGACAGCCTATGCAACTATGTAAATCTTCCTGCATCGGCACACATGATTTAGTGTGACTGTGGAATCACCCCATACTGTTAAAGGGCTTGTGATATTAACAAATGTTTGCAGTCTCTTGTACAGCTGTAAGCAAAATAATTAACTAATTAAACTAATTAAATGTAATTACAATAACTCATTTCAGGCGTATTGCAGCTGCTTAATTTTTTTCTCCTCTTCTATGACAGTCACTGAGAGAATGCCTGGCGATTAGTGTGGCTGCCGAAAGGCCTGAATGTCACTCACATGCCACAAATTTAGAAGCCTGAATGTGTAAACACTGCAATCTGTAATTATCACAGGAACTGGTGTTTGAAAACACAATTTTAACTACTGAAACCCTTTCTTCTGAATGCTAGAGGAAGCCTGTCCCTAGGTTGGTTTCAACTGTCCCTAGCTTCAGTCGTTTATGACACTTGAGCCACTTTTGACATTGACAAAAATAATTAAAAGAAAAAGAGAAGGTGCTTTGAAAAGCAATCCGTGCTGATTCAAATTGGAATGGAAAGGTTGTAGAACTGCAGAAAGGGTGGGGTATTGTACATTTTTTCCTTTAATGAAGGCAGAGGGAGTAGCTTTGAGAGGCGGGCAGGGTGAGCCCTGCCTATTGAGATGATGAAGTTCGGCTTTAGAATGAATGTACTGAAAAATAGCGAGGTTTGGAGAAAAATATTTATTTTAAATGTTGCCCTGAACATGTCTCCTCTCTTCTTTAGATAGTATCTTCTCGGTTTTCAATGCCAACTTTTAGGTTTGCTAGGATACTCACGTGCTAAAACTTGAAAGTGTACTGACAACTCACTTTCCCGCCTCCTCCTGGGTCTACTCTTTTGCTTAATTGCTGGTTGATTGGGGTGGGGCAAGGGAGGAGCTTCACCATTGGCTTTGTTTTGTTTTGTTTTGTTTTGTTTTAGTTCCCTCTCCTTTCAATGGAAAGCTCAAGCCACTTGCTCTGGGCTTGTATCCTAGCAACATCTTTTGGGGCTGACAGTAGGGCATGCACAACAGATGACCAATCAGAAATGTTATTAATAGTCAGGCCAATAAAAATATTTGAAACTTAGCTTGCCTAGCGAAACGGAGCTGAAAATATTCTTAGGTGTGGGACAGTTTGGTTGCAGGGATTGCATATGTTTGACAGCAAAAAGGTCAATATGTATAAGATTATCTGTGGGAAGAAGTGGAGAGTAATGACTAAAGTCACAGGTTCTTTTTTTTGGAAATGCTGAAGTACCTTTCATGTCCTCAAAATTTTGAAAGGTACATAGCTTAAAATATCTAAGTTGCACCTCTATCACTTTAATTGATTCAGGGAACATGATATGAATATAAATGTTAGGTCAATTCCATTATTTGATATTTGAGATATTTGCTTTATTACATGAAGAAAAGATCCTAATATATTTTTATCTTTAAAGAGCCTTAGGCAAAAGTGGGTATAAGTGATTGATTTATTCTTTCTAACTCACCACGAACCACTCATAATAAAGCTATGGGTTCACTTGCCTCGTCCCTGCCCCAGGTCTCCCATCTTTGCCAACCCTCCTCCCAACGAGGGATGTCACTATGAAGTTAATTTTGTAAAAAAGGTGAGAATGTTTTCTAGATATTCTAAATTTCAACAACTGCCAGGGGACTTAGTTGCTTAATTTATTTTCTAATAAGCTTTTAGATAATTTTTTAAAATTCTGCCTCATTAATAAAAAGCCAGCAATTGGTCAAGATTTGAATATTTCCTCTGTTTCTATGTTTATGAAGCCAGAAGACTTGTGCATAAAGGATCTGTCTCCCTGTTTCTCTCTCTCTCTCTCTCTCTCTCTCTCTCCTCTGTTATGGGAAGGCCCTTCCTAAAATTCAACCAGTCTAATTTTTCACCCATGTTGATATCACCCCATAGATTACAGGCTCCTTCTCATGTTATGTTTGCTATCTGGGCTTAGCTGACATTTCTGAAGTAATTTAGTTAAGAGGAAATGAGTTGTTCCCAGTAGAGAGAGCAAACGAGTGGAGTGAAGGTAGCCAGCGTGATAAATGGCTCTTTCATTTGAAGATCTCCAGAGCTCGTTTACGGCTAATTTTCTGTATTGGCCCCCTTTGAGCTATTAATGCAATCGGCAGGGACCGTGGCCCCTCTCTTCTTAGCTGCCCCATTAGAGCTCCCATTAAGCTGCCTAGTCTCAACTCCGTGGCAGGAGTGTGTGTGGGAGGGGTAATGAAAGGTACTTTTTAAACTCTCCTAATCTAAACCGGCAGAGGGTGGTTAATACGATTTGAAGGGGGCTGGTCAATGAGCAATCAATAAAGTAATAATGAGAAGGATTCGGTACATTAACAGTCTAAAAATCCAACAAGACATTAAAAAATCATTCTTAACTCTCAGTTCCATTAAGATTAGGAAACTGGAAGGGGGTGCCCAGCTAATATAAATGATCATAACCATCAACATATAGCCTAACTAAAAAAGGCTTACCTAGGCTTTAATAAAAAGTTTTTGACGTAATCAGAGGCCAGTATGCAGCCCGTTTGACACCTTAGACAGCATAAATATGCTGGGATTTCTTGGAAAGGCTAGCATGGCTGAAGTCCAAGGTTCAAATGTTGTGACTGTGGGGCATTTTTATTGGTCTTGGGAATATACTGTTTGTTTAGTTTCAATTCAAACTTCATTCTCTCCCACTTTTTTTTTGCCATTAGTTCTGGCCCCTTCCCCACATAAACACTTTGGTTGATGTGGATTTTCTTGGGGGAACAGGGATTTAAAAAAATCCAAATTTCAATTCCATTGGGTTCCTGTGAGATTCTTCCGTCTTGCCTAGAAGTGTCTGTCTGAGCCCCATAAATATTTAGATTTCCTCTCAAAGGAAGAGGTTTGCATCAGAGCTAAGTTGCATCCCAGTAGCTATTTATCAAGTAGAGACCCTGGGATACAGTCCACCTGTCCACAGAATGATCAGCGTTCACAGAATTCTAAAACTGGAAAGGTTAAACACTGTTCTCCATCTTCCCAAGTGCAGAACCCTCCAAGTGTGGAGACAAAATGGTAAGAGATTCATTAAGGTCCTAAACACCAAGTGATGAGATCCATCTTCATTTTCAGCTTCCTAGACTCTGTCCTGGAAGGATAATGCTGAATACTTGTAATATTTATGGTATAGCCTTCTTTGTGGCAATTCTTTTATTTTTCTTTCCACGATTTCATTGCTCACACTTATAAATTTACTACACATGTAGAATAAAATTTAGCCCTTGGAAGATGAGGAATGATGTAAATATGAGGAAAGGGCTCTTTGGTGGTAAGAAGTCATGACTTCACTTTTAGAAGTCTAAATCACTGTTAAACCTTGTGTTTATTCCCCTATTCAGGTCACATACCTAAGTTAGAATCCCTTTCAGAAAGACTCACTGTATCATCAGAAAGCCTCATCATATCAGTATATAAAACGAGTTCATCTCTTTTCCACCAGCAGAACTTGTCACTTAAGTGTAAAGAGTAGAGATTAAAAGCTATTCTGAGAACACTTTATCCCTGTGTTGTCCACTAACAAATAACACTCTCTTATCACTTTCTTTCTTAAAATGCCAGTTACTATAAAGAAACGCTGATTTGTTTTTAACCCTGCTTTTTTCTCCCCAGCCTAAAGCGGGGTGAGGTGGGGAGGGAGAGAAAGGATAGTGTTACATCCAGAAGTTGGCCTTGTCATCCAGATGAGAATCAAAGAGGGGAAATCCGCTGTTAATATATGCACAGAAAATTGTAAACATGTAAAGAACAGAAAGCTTCACGCTGGGTTTTGCTATGCTCCATTTCCTTACCATTTCCTGCTGTCGCTTTAAAACTATCTCAGTCATCTCTGGGTTCCGTGAGGAGGAACAGTGTGATCGTAATTACTAACAAATCAACCGGGCTCTGTTGCTCTCTGGGTTTATTGATAAGCTGGAAGAGAGTAGAAAGGAAAAGACAAAGAAAATAAAACACAGGGTTAATCAGCTGAACTAAGCAGGTGTGAGAGTGGAGGGGCTGGTAGATAACCACAGAGCTATGGACCTGAAGGAAAGTTGAGAAAAGAAATGTGTAGTGTCTAGTTTTGGGAACTAATACTAAGCCAGGCAGGAGAAAGATTTAGAACCTGAGGATATAAGAGTGAGTACAGGATTTTGTCACTTAAGTTAGAAAATGGAAATATAATCTGAATCACATTTGCGCATATTGTCTGTGACTTGTGGGGGAGACCTCCCCCAAGACACGTATGCAGATAGAAGCTGGCTTGATTGGGGGTATTTAGGCGATAATGTAGATGCAGAGAGGTACAGCCCAGAGGTTGGAGACATATACATCCCCCAAAGGAAACAGCTCTTGTCAGGTAAATCAGGCAATTAACAATAGTGAAATTAGAGGGTATGTTATAAAGTGTCTCCAGAGATTTGGCATGTGGGACTTGAGAACAGGTAGAAATCCAATATGTGGCTATCCAGTGTAGGGAACAGGAACTGAACTTAGTATTTTCAGCGTAGTAGAGATTTTGTTGTTGCTAAGATTTTTAAGTAACATTTAAGTATTAAAATGTTGCTGGGTATTAAAAATGAGATTTTTCTCAATTTATCTCATCATATTAAAACTAAAGAGGACCACCTATATTTTGGGGAGGATTTTTTTTCCAAATGTACCTGATATTTGAAATTGTTTGTTTATAGGCTTTGAATATGAATTTGAAATATAGAATAAGAGGTGCTATGAAAAATAAGATAGATGGAAAGGATGTGATATGGTGTATACAAATTAAATGATGGTGTGCTCCCTCTCACTCATTCAAGTGACTTTACAGACTAATCAAATCTGATCAATAATTTTAAGTTTTCATTGCTTCATTCTCTTTTGGGAAGCAGCTGCACTAAAGAGTATGAAGTGAATCACACAGAAAACCCTCTTGATGCCCCTTTCCCCACTTTTGGATTAGTGCAGAAGATCCATCCTGTTACCTCCTAACATTATACGTGTATCTGGAACAAAGTCTTGGGCATGACGAACTCTTTGCTCCGAGAAGTAGTAGCAAAAGGAAAATTTATGAGAACCAGGGATTTAGCTCAGTGGCACAGCACCTGCCTGGCAAGATCAGGCCTTGAGTTCCATCCCTGATGCCAAAAAAACGAAACAGAACAGAAAGGGAATGCATTACCCATTTACTCCTCAGGAAACCTCTTTTCCACAAAGTGTTTGTAAAGAGCCAAACACAACTCATGGTAAATGAAACATTTGGGACCTGTTTGGCTTTTAAAGTCTGAACAACCATAGAAGCCTGGATGTTGGAATCTATGATAGAGAGAATAAACAGTTACAGAAATCCTGTGTTGCCAGTATATACCATACAAAGGAAGTTGCACATCTTGTTTGATATAGAATTCTAGTTCCCAGATGGTAGAAAGAGGGTATCTTTTCCGTGTCAGAGTTAAAAGGTGAGACGGTCTATAGAAAAGATAGGGGTGTAAATTTCTTTTTTCTCATTCGATGTGAGTTTCAGTAAATTTCCTAAAGTAGTGAATTTATAGTCTGAAGACTTGGGGGGGGTCTCAAGTCCCAAGGGAAGAAGCTTGTTTTGGGGATCAATACTAGGTGGTAGGAGCAAGAGAAGGTCAGAAGTTATCCATTCAGTGGCTTCAGAGCCTACTAAAAGAAAATGGGCCGGATCAGTTTAGAAATGTAAGAGCAGGACTGCCAGGAAAAGGAAGGTTGCTTATTCACTGTTCCCCTGGCAGCCTTCTGGTACGATTGAGCTCAGCCTCTTCCTGGCGTGCAGATGACACTAAAACACAATTAAACAGAAATACAGGCTGGAGAGGCTGAATGTACCAGGGCAGCAGTGGCAACCAGCTGTCAGCTCTTATTAACTTCTGCATAAAACATACCTTGAGTGCGGTTTGTTATCAATTACTTGCCAAAATGAAACAACTGGGGCAAGGCAAGGCTGCTGCTCACGTGAATTAGAGTGATTGGTTGATTGATCAGGGCACCTGTTGTAAATCATAAGCGCTCCTAACAATCGCCAGACGGTGCTTTAATTTGTAAACAAAATCCATGTCACTGCAGAATTGTTTTCACTGGAGATGAGCATTGGAGTTCATTTCTAAATTGAGTTCTGTTCTTGCTGTTATGTAGGACAGAATTCAGCGCACTTTAAAGAGATAAGCAGCTTCTTTGGGCCAAAATGCCAAGGTCAGTGGTGTTATTTGTCTGTAATGTGGCATCTGATGAGGCCCACCCCTGGTTCTCCTCATGATTATGGATTTGGGTCCAATAAGAGAGTAGGAAGGAGTTTTCTCAAGGACAACTGATTATATTGCCATTTTAATAACCAAATAGGATAATCACCTTCCGACTCCAGCACAAAATGAGACAGGCATTATTATCTTCAGGTGACAGATGAGGAAACTGATTCAGAGTTCAGTGAGGTGTCTAAGATCAAACAGCTAGCATGTGAGAGAATAGAATTTGCTTGGTTTTGTAGCACAACCCAAGCTCTGGGTTGAATATTTTTTTTTTTTTTACTTTATGATGATCAGGGTATATGGATATGACAGGTTACACTCAGGTGTCCACCGACACACCTAGAGTATCTTTCCAGAGTGGTGATGGTTGTTCAGACTTCACAGTTGTCTGAATGCAGCCCCACTGGAACAAATGCTCCCTTCCCCAGTTTTCCACTTGGCATCTGTGAGGTGGTCACACAATGACAGTCACCAGGATTGAAGCCTGGTCACCTTTATGGCATTCTTTTCTCTCTCTCTCTCTAGTTCCGGTTCCACCCAAATCTGTGACTTCTCTAATGATGAATAAAGATGGCTTTTTGGGAGGCATGTCAGTCAACACCGGTGAGGTATTTTGCTCGGTCCCGGGCCGTTTGTCCCTGCTCAGTTCAACCTCAAAATATAAAGTAACTGTGGGAGAAGTTCAGAGACGGCTTTCGCCCCCGGAATGCCTCAATGCATCTCTTCTTGGAGGGGTCCTCAGAAGGTAAAGATTCTCAAAAAAGACTTTACACTGGCGGTTGTGGTTGGAGAAAGTTAGATCCCAAACCATTGCAAAGTTTCATGCAGTTGCCTAGCAACTGGCAGTGCTGCACACAGAGAGCTCCAGACACCACTTGCTCTTAGTGGAGCCTGTAGACACTGCTGCCCTCCCCGTGACTCCCAAGCTCAGCTCAGCTCTGGGAATCTTGAACTTTGCTGTTCTGCCTGGCACAGGGCTATACCCTATACCCGGGGACTTCTAAGGATGCAACCTAGGACCTTCATACACACAGCCATCTAAAATAAGTTCTTTCACACCTTCCAAATAATCATTGATGATCCTATCGTCTATTATATATTTTAAAATGCAGCTGGTGACGACTAAGTTCATGTCACAACTCAGTGATGCAGTGCACTCCACAGTGAAAAACTTGTCTAGATTCTCATACCCTTTCAATAACACCACTGCCAGTAGCAACTGCATCAGTCTAGAAATATAATTATTATTTGAAGCCATCTAGGAGCTCCCCAATGGTCCAACCTGCAGACTCTTCCTTGTGGAAATGAAGGAAGAGGTAGGTGGCTTTTCAGATTTAAATTCTCCCCAAAAGTCCCTATCAACTCTGGAATCCTTTAGCACAGTTGTTGATGTGAAAGTGATTTGGAGGCAAATTAACCCATTTGAGAGGCTGAGAGTCGTCTTTTTTCCTAAAAGTGGCCATGTGTGGAGTACAGCAAAAGAGGTTACAGTAGTTTTCTTATTTTCTGCCCAGTCTTTAGCACATACAAGGAGAGCCTTGGGAGAAGTGTGGGTATGACCTAGGAACCTTCTTTTTTCAAATCCATTTCTTCTCCCCACTTTGTTTCAGTTTTCAGGTTTGGCATTTGCACTTGAGAGTGAAGAAATTTTCAATCACTCCCTGTGCATGTGTGTATAAAACTTGTTGTATCATTAAATGAAATAACCAATAGAAAGTGCTCATCATATAACGACACACAAACTTGTTAGTTTCACTGTTCTGAGGATCGTCATTAGGTACATATTTTAGTTTCTTCTCCTAAAACATTGGCGTTATATACAACACTTGCCCTTTTCCTGTAAAAGCTCACCTGTTTCCTAAAGTGCCTCTTCTTTCTGAACCAAAGCAGAGCAGTCCCTTTCGGTAAAGTTGTTTGTGCACGGTTTCTGCTCTCCTCACTGACTCCTTGACAATCAACCTAGGCGTGTGTGTACGTGTGGGTGCACGTGCACGTGCACGCGTGCGTTTGCGCGATTTTTACCTTCTCCGGACCCACAACCTACATCTTAATTATTCCCATCTGGTATTATTTTTTTCCTCACAAGATAAAAAAGAAAAGAATGCAATTTTTTAATGTGCTGTATTGCAGAAATTAAGCAAACCTCAGCAAACTATCAGCAAATAACCAAAACGAAGGGGGGAAAAGTGCTAACCTCAAGTTAAAACCTCTTCAAGCTCCACTGGGCTTTAGATTGCTAAGTCTAAACTTTGTTTCAGAAACACTCTGAGGTTAATCAGAATGTTAATTCTTGCAATTTCAGAGCCAAATCGAAAAATGGGGGGAGATCTTTACGAGAAAGGCTAGAAAAAATCGGTTTGAATTTACCCGCGGGCAGGCGCAAAGCAGCGAACGTCACGTTACTCACCTCCCTGGTGGAAGGTAAGCAAGATGTGTGGCTGAGTTTAACTGTCGGCTGGAGGCTGACATTTTCCATGTTTCATGATTAACTGGAAATCATTGGGATTGTTGTGCCCTTATGAGGTGATGTCAAGCGACTGCTTGAAATTCTAAGTTCCTTTTACTTAGCGGGAGCCAGTGGTTGCAGAGAGGCTAACGACATAGCATCTGAATCACCCACTGTATGAACTCTGCAAAAAGAATGTCTGTAAGCAACCATCATACCCCTTTCCCTTCACAGGTTTTACCTCTGAATTGCTGCTATTAGAAAATGCATTGCATTCATGACCCCTAATGGCCATTTTAAAATGAATGTCACTGGTAGGGCCCTATCTCTTGCTGATTACCTGGGACTTACTGAAATATTGATAACTTAGGAAAGTCAGCGATGCATAAGAGAGAAGTGGTAAGGAGTGTTTACAAAACATGGAGGCGAGTCAAGCAGGATCTTCAATGTAGGTTCATCACTTGTAGATTAAATGGCCATGTTTATAACAAGCACCTTCTAATTTGCTTATCAGTTTGGGAAAGGGAATAATATTTATGTTATGTCATAAATAAGACCATCTACATACTTGACTTCAAGAATATCTCCATCTGAATTTGTGCAATGGGAAACAGAAAATACAGCCAGGTGTTCCTAATGGAAGAAGATACAGAATTTTCTTCAGAGTCTACTTTGTCAATCCTGTTTTTTTTTTCATTTTTTTAAACAGATATGACATTATGACACTCCTGTAGGGAATTGGTTTCTGGAGGAAGATGTTTTAGAATATTTAACCAGCAACCATAATGTCATCACAGTTATAGACTTTGCTTGCTCTTTGCCATCTTTAAGGCAAAGTTGCTTGGCCCAAATTTACCCTCTAGAGGCAGCAGCCACCAAATTTCTAGACCACAGTTATTAGTAGTTGATTTTGAGCCTGGAGGTTTCACATTTTGCCCTTCAGGGAATTGCTAATATCACAATCCTCATTTTAAAAAACAGTCAAGGTAATCTTAGCCCAAGACAAGGATTCTGGTGGAGAAGGGAGGAAACTGGAAATCCCAATGAAATTCCAATATTTGGTTGGCAGTTTTCAGCTTTATGAATCCTTATAAACACCATGCCTGAAGTCTTTTGTTGTTATTATGATAATGATGATTAAAAGTAAGTCATGCTCCTTAAAAAATAATGTAGCTATGGGATAATTCAACGTATCTCTTTTTCATGTTTGTGATCTTTCCTGAAACCCCTAGGGCTGTGCTTTAACGGGTAATAATGCTTTATTTGAAAGGGGCTTTTTGTAAACTCTGGAATACCTTCCATGCCCTATTTTTCTGAAGCTGCATCTTTGTGCAATAGAAAGTCTTTAAGAAGGAGGAGGATGACAGAAACATCTGAGGGAGAGACCTGAAAGCTGGCTAATAGAAGTGACAAGGAAAATTCTCATTGCTGAATAGAAATGCTCTTTCCATATACAGTTTACATGTTTTAAAATATTCATAGACTTTTATAATATGGGTTTGCTTATATGTATTAGTTATTATTAAGCGATTTTTTTGTTAATACAATTATTAGGGAGATGGTAGGAACTTTTACATTTTATTTAAAGAAAGATGAACCATTGCTTTAAAAATGGCAGCTGACTTGCATAATTAGCCAAATGTCTAGGTTCAGTTATAAGTGGACTCTTAAATCTATTGCCCTACTTTTCCCATTTTTAGGAGACCCCATGCTATCTGGGGTTGTCTAGGTAGGACTTGGCTCAGGAGAGGCTGGAAAGAGCAGCAAAAGGAAAGTTTGTCCCACAACTTCAATTACATATTCATAATCTTCCCTACTCTGAGTATCTGTCTCATGTTCTCCTTTGCCCCGCACACCTGGTTTGGCTGCAAATGCTGATAGAGTTGCTCAAGGTATAACTCCTGCCCTGAGATGTTTAGGCCCTAAGTACTAATTCTCTGCTGCTGTCTTTTTCAGGAGAAGCTGTCCACCTAGCTCGGGATTTTGGGTACATTTGTGAAACAGAGTTTCCAGCTAAAGCTGTCTCTGAATATTTGAACCGGCAGCACACGGATCCCAGCGACCTGCACTCCCGAAAGAATATGTTGCTGGCAACCAAGTGAGTACCTCAGGCCCAGGGCCCCTATCCCTGATCAGCATCCTGCTGGGCCATCCATTTGGGAGAGTGGTAGTATGGGAATTGTCAGTAGGGAAGAAGAGGTGCTTCTTTTGTGGGAGCGTGGCAGCCAGTGCAGCAAACGGCTAGGAAGCCACCCCAGCTTCCTCCAGGATGGGCAGAGTTGATGGACTATGGCTTGTCTCAGTCCTTTTCTCACCTTCCACCTGGCTTTATTAATCTGAATGTGGGGTTTTTACAGGTTTTTTTTCTACAACCCCTCGGGATGTCAGGCAGACCTTTTCCAGGCCTGGAAGGTGTATATTACTGCCCAGGTTTCACATCTGTCTCCTTGCCATGTGTGCTTGCCCAAGGTGTCTGTATGTCACTTACCTATGCCCATCTCTACCCACAGCTCTAATTACTCCGTTTCCAACGTTGCTGTTTGTCATCTTCCATAGACTTGTAAAATTTACTACAACTCCAGTGGGGAAAATAGTAAATCTCTGGCTAAATTTAGGTCTAGAGCTCATTTGAACTTTACAGTGGGCTTTCTATTTACTTGATTTACTCCTGTCTTTGGCTTCGGTGTCATATTGTTGGTGTTTTATGGCCAGCTCAGGCCTGCAGTGGGCGGGGCCCACACGTTTCTCTCGCAGAGGCGACCTAAACAGCGGCACTCATTTATTTAGTGCTCCAGGACGCGGTTTGTTCGGTTGACAGCGTAATTTAAAGAAATATATGGAAGGCTGAAAAATCATTTGCTCAAATTTGTCCAGATGTTTTTGAGACGTGATTGGAATTTGATTGCCCCTTTCCGCAGGGTCAAAAAATATTAATGTCCCAGAACTTTAATTGCTTACAGACCCTGGTTTGGGCTTTGAAGATTTAAAATGTTTGACTCTGAGCATTTGTTCTCCTCACTACAGAATTCCCTTTTTGGCACTTTGGTAATGAGTACAAACTTGAGGGAACACTTTAACCATCTCTCCCAATGATCAAAATCTGGCATCCACTCTCTTTTATGAAGGCTTTTCTCTTCTGTACACCTAGTAATACAATAGATCTTTGTCAGTAGCTTGCTCTCTGACCCCTGCCTTGGTGTCTGGAGGTGAGAGACCTGTTGTACTTTATAATAGAGGAAGGGTACTTCAGGGGAAAATAAAAATAAAACCAAAGAGTGTTAGTCAGATAATAGGATTGTGCAAACACCTCTGTAGTTCCCTAAGGGATGCTCCTGACTGCCAGGCTCTCGCAGTCTTGTTTTTCCTAAACCAGCACTTTTCAACTTGAGGTATCAGAATCATGTAAGGAGATTTTTAAAGATATTTATGCTCAGACCTCACCCCAAACCCTCTGAAGTGGAACTGATGGGGGAGAGGGATTTGGGAGTGTGCATCTGAATCCCCAAAGGTGATTTGGAGGTATCTCCTGCTGAAGAACTGCCTCATGGAGGTCAGAACAGTCTGGTGCTTCTTCCTAGTTGTATGGGAGCATTTCAAATGGAGACATGAGAGGGTAGAAAGTGGGCACCTGTTAATGTTCTCTATCCACCAGTCTGAAATCAGCAGTCCTGCTGCTGCTGCTGGTGTGCAGGGGAGGAGGTATTTCCCAGTTGCTTTAGTCACTAGCCCACGCCAAAGTGGCCCCAACTGGGGAAAGGGCACCCCAGAGTCCTCCAAACACAGTAACCCACCCTGTTTACCTGTTGGCCAGGCGAGATGTTGCCTGTACAGACTAAGAGTAGTCTGTCCCATGGGGGTCTATGCAGAACTAGCCTGCCTTAGATTTGCTTCCCTTGGAATTCCCAGATCCATAGGAAAGGTGGAGGCAGGCTGACAGAAGTGTGCCAGTCTCTGAAAAGTTGTGGCTTTTGGGGTAGTATGTCTCAGTTGGCCAGCAGAGCCAAGCCATTTGACCTGCAGGGATAAAGCCCTCCCATCTCCTTCTTATATTAAAAATTTGTCAAATAAGCTCAGTCTGGCATTAGGTATGCAAGGTTTCTAAGGCTGGATTTCTCTAAACCATCGGTGCCTTGAGGAAATAAAAACCTTCAACAAATAAAAACCTGGCCTCCCTAGTGTCTTAACACGTTACCTTTAGATTTTATTTAAACTATGTGGGAATCCCTTTATATTGACAAAAATCTTGTTATATAAAGATTTTTAGTAGCCCATACTTGCAAAGTAGAAAATAGAACACTTTTTTTTTTAAAAGAAAAAGAAAATCTTTCTCTCCCCACATACTGCAGGTAAACAGGTTTTTGCTTTGAATGGAATCAGCATTCTCTCCCAGAATAAACAGTTTCTTGCCCTGGGCCATGTACAGCTCCAGCAATCTGTTTCAGTGCCAGGGATAGGCTTGTGGCTGAGGGCCTAAATCTTTCAGGGCTTTTTGTGTCTGATCTCCAAGAGGTGGGAGAGGCAAGAGAGAGGAGGGGAAAAGAACTCAAAGGAATGCCAGGTAAGCCCTTACAATTATAGAATATCCAAAATCCAAACTAGAGCCTAGTGAATTTCCCAAAGCAGAACCTGCATGATCCTGGAATGGAGGAACTGATAGAAGAAGAAGAAGAAGAAGAAAAAAGTTAAAAAAAGGCAAGGCTTAGGGTTGGAAGGGGCATCTTCTACCCCACCCCCGCTTTCCTTGCAGTCCCAGCTGCTCCACAAGAGAGTTAGCTAGGAGAGGAAACAGAGCGGAAGCGCTCACATTAGCCTCCCTCTCCAGCAGCCGGGCGCCGCTGGGCTCTTTTGAGCGTCTCCTTTCTAACTCCAGTGACAACGACACTCACGGTGATTTTCTGTGCCTTCTCCACCCCACTGCAGGCAACTTTGTAAAGAATTTACGGATCTGCTGGCTCAGGACCGGACACCGATCGGGAACAGCCGGCCCAGTCCCATCCTGGAGCCGGGCATCCAGAGCTGCCTCACGCACTTCAGCCTCATCACGCACGGCTTCGGCGCCCCGGCCATTTGCGCAGCGCTCACGGCCCTGCAGAACTATCTCACCGAGGCGCTCAAAGGCATGGACAAGATGTTCTTGAACAACACCACCACTAACAGGCACACGTCTGGGGAAGGCCCAGGTAGTAAAACTGGCGACAAGGAGGAGAAACACAGGAAATGAAAAAAAAAAAAAGTTTAAAAAAGAAGGAAAAATGTTTTAAATACAAAAAGAAAACAAAAATTAATTTTAGCTTTAAAATATTGGATTGGCTTTGGAAGAATTATATTAGGTAGAGTACACTTACAATCAAAATTTAAAAAAAAGAAAGCTAAATAACTTTTTTAAAAAAACAATCCTGAGGCATACAGCGGAGCAACAATATCGGTTCTCAGTGTCTATTTCAAGATACACTTGGAGACAACCGTCCGGATTTTCCACTTCGGTTCTTTCCAGCTTAGTAGTACTGATAATAAAAGAAAACAATGATTGCCCCTTTGGAAAACAAACATAAGACTAAACATGTGAAAACGCTAACTTATTGGAAGAAATTCGGAGAAACGTTGGTGTCAGTGTTTTGAGAGCTGGTTGACTGAGACGCACGAACTTTTAAATTTTTAAGTTTTTTTTAGGAGACTCCTTGGCAGTCTCCGCCCTCCATTCCACCTGGCCCCTCTCCCAGGCACCCTTTTCCTATGTTGCCTTCCTCCCTGATATTGTTATGGGAACCTGCAGGATTCAAATGAGTATAGCCCTTTTGCGTGGTTTCAGTCCCTGTGGTCCCCAGCCCAGCCTGTGTTTCCAACTCACCGTGCCCTGTTTTCCCCCGAGGTTTGTGAAGTAGGGAGGGGCTGGGGGTGGGGGCAGCAGCTTTGGGAGCTGTGGCCCGGCAGAGGCTCCTTTGGCTGTGGGAAATCCGGACCAATAAGCTGATTCAGACTCATCATTCATTCCTTTCAGAAATATTACTAGTTCCCAGCCTTACCAGCATCTGCATACAGAGAATCTTGCATTTGTTATATTTGTGTCATCTACCAATTTTAAGAACTATAGTAAAAAACAAACAAACAAACAAACAAACCAAAACAGTATGAATACGTTGATTAGTATGTAATCCCTTCGGAGGGGTATGTACCATTTCATTCTCTTCTGTTTTCCAAAGCTCTGCCCGCATGGTTTATGAGCTTCTTCAAAGAGGACTTGGGCTTTCTACACAGTCTATAAGGTACTGAGAAAAAAAATCCAATCCTTTTCAAATCAAAGCTTGTGTGTCAGAATTCTGCAGGTGCACTTCTTTAAAGAAGCTCAAAGGGAATAACATAGAAAGTGGCCAGTATGTGGAGGCAGCTTTGAGGCTCCTTGCTAACATCCTCACCTCTGGAATTCCAGCGGGGATAGGGCCATGAAAAGTGAATTTTAGGGGAAAGGTGTAGGGGTTCTTCGATGAATCCTGTATTCTAACAATATTGCCCTCACTTAGATTTAATTTCCTCAGGCTCTATGGTGATTGCTGTTTTAATGAGGGGGGGGAGTAGCTTTTCTAGTGAGATGAGGAAGACAGTGTCACAAACTCTCCTGTTTCTGCAACAATTGCTTTCTTACAAAGCGCTTTATGAGTGAGGCACTTTCTCAGCCCAGAGGTGCACTTGTTTTGGCGTATAATGGTAAAATAATGCATAGTGAAAGGCAATATAGTTCAGCTTTGAATTTTGCCACTGGGACTATTCCCAGTGGATAAAGTTTCATGCATCTAATATTTCCCACTCAGGCAGCCCAGATCCTTTCTGGGGCTCCATCTTAGCGTTGTCATGAAATAAAATCTGGATTCCATTATCAGAGGTTCCCAAGAGCAGTGAGAAATTCCCTGGGGTAGTGGTGAGTGAGACAGGTCTCTAAATTTAGAGTAGATACAAGCACCTCCTTTAAACAAGGTATGCAAGCTCTCTGCAACATTCCTGGATGACGGTCCAGATGTTGTTCTGCAGGATTTATGGACAGAGCCGATATATATCACCTGGGCCCTCATTTTTGCACGAGCCCCCTCCCCTTGGGGTGAAGGCGAAGGTTCAGTTTTAGGAACCTGCCGAGAGCTAAGCTGGGGCAGAGGTGGGTAGTTAGCTGTCTTCAGATGACTGACTAGGAGAGCACCAACTAAGACTGCAGTTCCTCTTCGTGCAGGGAGCAGCCCTAGAAGTGTTCGGAGGAGTGCTAAGGCAGGGAACAAGGCATTGTGGAAAGAGTAGCCACTCGTCTCTCCCCATTTGAGAAGCCTGCACCTTTGTCCGAGGGCCTGGACACTTGCGTTAGATGTGTTCGGATTGCACAGGGCCGGGAGAAACCACACTGAAAACCATCATCTCCTTTCCTTGCAGGGCAACGCGCCCCACGCGTGTGACCTGCGAGAGACGCGATGGACGCGCCTTGCTCTTACTGTGCAGGTCCTGAGAGCGGTGGGCCACTCGCGCCCAGTCGTGTTGAGGACATAGAATCAGCCACTGCAGGGGCCGCCGGCCTCACCGGCCCTTCTCGCTCTCGGTCTCACCCTAAGGGCTCAGGCGACCGAGAACGCGCCCCGCGCTCCAGTAGGTAACGGGGCGGTGCCCCGAGGGCTGCAGACGGGGAGGGGTCTCAGGGCTGCGTACGCCCTTCGCTGCCCGCGGTCACTCCGAGTGCCCGCTCCCAGAGGAAGAGTGGCCTAGAAATGTCCAAGGAATCAGAAGCTTTCCCCTCTCCTCTCAGTCAGGACGGAAATTCTCTCCACGCTCATGCTCTTAGAGGGGAGACGGAATGAGAAGGCCTTACTTGGCCTAGCAGGCTCCCTCTTGTCCTCGCCCTCTAGACAGAGCCGGGTGTGCGCCTCCCCCCACCCCGCACCCCGTCCACCCCCGCAGCCCGCCGCGTGCAGTGGCCCTCAATCCCTTCCTTCCCTCCTTTCTCTGTTCAAGTAGGATCCCCGCCCTCTTGCTTTTGCGTCAGCTAGGGCCGCTACATTTATCTGATAATTGAGTTATTAAAGGATTTGGTTTCCTTGGGCTAATAAATCAATAAACAGTAGGATTAACACAGGAGTTGCCTTTTAAGTCAAGGAGAATGTTTAAGGCGAGACCCTTTGAGCTTTGTTTTCAAACCAAACAGGTGAGCTGCAGCTCTTTCCCCAGCCCTGCATTCTAGACTGTTTAGCCCTGCCCGTTGCCCCCTCCTAAATGCTGTGTCCCAAACTAAAATAAGACCTGAGGACAGGAGACAGGAGTTGGGGGTGTGGCAGCGCTGCCCTCAAGCTTGCCACTTCAAAAGTTCAGCTAGCGGTTCCTTAGTCTGCAGGGCATTGCCCAGCCCCTCATCCTGATGCAGGGGTGGAGGTCTCAGGGCAAGAGCAAAGGGCTGTCCTAGGTGAGCGTTCTATCTGGAAGGGATCTCTAACTTCTCCCCCAAGCAGGAATTTTCTCTCCTCCTCTTCTCAGAATTACTCTGTATTTTCTTTCCTTTTTCCTGGCCTCCACATCCTTAGCTTTCTCTACCCTCAACTAAAGAACTGAAGAGGCTTTCAAGGACTTGACCTTTGTTTTCTTTGCCCAAGGAAACCACTCTTTCTGAAGCAATTATTTCATATCGTATGAAAACTTTGGTCCAATGGAAAACCTGAAACTCTGAATCTATGTACACTGTGCTCCTCCAGTACAATACATTCCTAGTTAGAGTGTTCATAGAGAATTTGTCATCACGGCTGATATCCTGGACTTGCAATACATTATGTGGAAAGGAAATAACCTTAAACCAACTGATGTTGCCTCAACAGCCCAAAAGCATTTTCCCTCCTTTGCTGATGTATATTAAATTATTGGCATAAAAAGAGAAATATTGAAATTAGTTTTTTTTTTAATGGAATGAACACCGTCCTTCTTAAAATTCCAAAATCCACTCCTCTTTTGGCTTGGTTTCTAACTCACTAACATTGCTTTTGCCACACAATCAAGAAATATCAATCTATTGGCTCTTCATGAGAAGAGCTCTGGAGGCTATCCATGTTAAGTTTGTACATATTTATTTATGCTTAATTTAATGGGAATGTGTAAATATGGCGAGCAAGTAGTTTGGGATTATTTATCTGTGAATCTATACCTCTGTGAATGGGTGGTTGAAAATAAAACCGCTTGACCCTAGGTAGAATCTTATCTGAATTTTTCTGTTCTTTATAGACAAGCTGTTACGGTATTGGGTAGAAATTGGTTTATTGTCCAGTGTTGCTCTGATTTACATAAATAAAAAGATTGTTGTGTTTTTGTTGTGTTTTCATCTTCAGTTTTGTAAATATGGATATAGTTGAACTCTAGAGACCAAAAAAAAAAAATATAGCAAGAAGCTTTTTTGGTTTACTTCCTTCACTGAAACACTGTGTTTGTTACAGTAGAAATACAATAAATTTTATCAGAAAAAGGAGCACTTACTGACCACAGGAAGAAGTGCTTTTTATTTTATTTTTTTCAATTCCAAATTGTTTCTTCTCTTCCCAGATTTCAATGAACATTCACATTAACTGCATCTTTTGGTTTATTTTGTCCTTTGAAAGATGAGAAGTCTAATTTACTTCTCAGGTAACTAAAGGATTTTAGGTCCAAGTCAAAGATGATGGGTTTTGCCCTCTTACTGCTGGTGGGGTGACATTCTGACAAGTTGTTCCCAGAAGGAGATGGTGTGGGAGAGAAGTCTTCAGGACTGGTGTGGGATCCTGCACCTCACTACCCAGGATCTGGACGCATTAACTACACCTTTCCAGAACTGAATTTGACTCTGACTTCTTCAGTAGTACAAGATATGTCACAATTAAAATGAGAAAATTCCTTTACCTGGAAGATGAGTAAGTTGCACTTTGTAAGAAGCTATCTGTAACCTAGGTAGAATGGCTGCTTAGAGACTCCAGCTTTTCTCATTTGGGTTTATGGGCTTCACTAACCACGTCTCTGATAAACCGCGGTGACCAAATAACTCAATCTATATTTTGCTGCAAGAATAGGGTATCTTTTCTGAGAGTAGGAAAGCAAAGTCACCCAGGATGTCATGCAATTTGGACAAGTTATTGCTTCTTTGGGCCGTCATAGTCTTTTCCCATCAAAGACAGACCTCTTAATGGTCCTTTATTAACACTGCCAAGTTTACTTTTATAAAAAACAGAGACAGCAGCATGTATGCATATTTAAATACAATAAAAATACTACATCTAATGATCTCAGATTCTTTAAAGTGTTTAGAATATAGCTGATGCTCAATCGACATGCTTCCTACATACATTTTCTGGTTTTCAGGTCAATCTTTTCCAATTGGACTTATAGTTAAAAGCAGAAGTGACAATGAAATCTGTTTTATGTGTGACCCCCCCCCGCTTCCCATTTTATTAATTTAAAAAGGGAGAGTATCATGGCTAGAATTATAAAGAATGGAATCAAAGAAAAAGAAAGCAAAAAGAGAGTAAGGGAAATAGAAAGTAACAAGGAAGAAAAAACAAAGGAAATGTGAGTATGAGGGTGAGTAATTTAGTTTACAGAAAATATACGCCGTATAAGCCTTAGTTTCTGGCTCGATTGTGTTACACTGAGTTTCCTTTTCATTGGCTTTGCAGAGTGTGGGTTTGGTTACCACGGAGCCTGTCCACAGGTAGTTGCGAGTGATTTCTATATCCATGACAAGTTTTTCTACAGAGCATTAGCACCATTCCTGGACAGAGAAACAAGTAATCTATTATCACACTGGTAAACTCCAGACTGTCACCGACCATCATTTGGCAAGGAGAAGGTAAGGCAATGACCTTTACCACGAAAAACCTGTAACACCCGATGTCCTGAGGTTCCTAAACTGTGGAAAAAGAATTGGAGGAAAGACCTGGAAGAATTCGAAAGGAAAAAAGGCGGGGGAGGTGGACATCCTTGTCCAACAAAGGTTTCTGGCTGCTTCTCATAGCTCCCCAGTGTGGTAGTCCCTTTGCCTTGTGAAGCAGTGGCAAGGAAAGCAATAGGTATTGTGAATAGTCCATTCACCTGCGGGGAGCGGGGGGGGGGGCTTGTTAACCCTGGAGGAGTTGAAGGTGCTGCCGCGCCTGCCAGCAGATGGCCTGACTAGGTAGGCAATTTTACAGCGCCCCAGAAATCCACTCACAGGCCAGTATTTTCTGTTTAAGGGCTTGATTAAAAGTAGTGCTGGGAGAAAGACATGATTTTTTTTAAAGCCATACTCTTTTTCTTCACTTGCAAATAACAGCTCCATGGGCCCTCTCTTGGGACCCTGGTTTCAGAAGTAGGAGCCATCAGAAAGTTGCTGGCCCCCGTAGGAAGTGCCCCTTGGGAGGGCGTCTAGGGTTCCCCTTGCAAGCTTCCTTCCGTGCTCCAACTTTCTGAGAGGTTGTGTGTCATACTGAAGCCTCAAAAATTAAATGTGCAGCTCACAAGTCTATTAATTTAGCTTCCCATTAATCTATCTATAAGTGAACCAGCGTTGACTCTATAAATACAGTCCTATAAAATTGAACTCTTTACCATAAATCTTCCAAGTTGTTTCTTCCTGGCCTTCTAACGATCCTCGAGTAAACTTGGGGAAGACTATGGCAGACCCGATCCGCGACGAAGTATTTTCACTCCTTCCCTCCCACTCCGAGACTTAGCACTTAGCGAGGAGAAAAGGTAGGATAGGAAAGGAGGGGTGAAAACTCATTTTTCTTTCTCGACTTTTGCGCTTCCTTGTTTCTATCCCAATCTCGCACTCTCCATATTCCCCATCACAAGTTCGGCGTTAATGTACACCGTCATAAACAGCTTTCTTGCGACTGCAGCTCCTCTCATAGCTTGGGGTGAGCTCCTTTTTCACTTCTCTGGTAGCCACTGCTTTAAAGTCAAGCCTTATAAATAACCTTATGGGATTTTTTCAAGATGGAATCCGTCAAACGCCTTTCCCGTCCAGTCTCCTCGTTTAGGTTCCCCCATTCCCCTCCCCAAGGTCACAGTTTGACGCAAGCCCACTGGCTTTTCCCCAGGTTTCCAGGACGCAGGCACTAAGAGCAACCTGGAGGCTAGGTAAGAGCGCAGAGTTACACCCTCGGGGGCGCGGTCTGCGGGCC